CTTTCGCTTTCTCTGTATTTGCCAAGATTCTCAAACGGGGTTATCATTCAGATGCCATAACCTTAAATACACTCATCAGAGGTCTCTGTGATAAGGGTGAGGTCAAGGAAGCCCTCAACCTTCACGACAAAGTAGTAGCACTAGGATTTCCACTCAACCAAATTACTTACGGGACTCTGATCAATGGATTGAGCAAAATAGGAGAAACTGAAGCCGCGATCAAATTGCTCAGAAGTATTCAAGGTCAATCAACAGTAATGTACACTATCATTATTGACTCTCTGTTAAAAGAGAAACGTCCAGAAGAAGCTTATGATTTGTATTCTGAGATGATTATTAAGGGAATTTCTCCTAATGTTGTTACTTATAGTATTCTAATTTATGGCTTTTGCTTACTGGGACAGGTAGAAGTAGCATTTGGTTTCCTAAATGAAATGCTATCAAATAGCATCAGACCAGATGTTTATACCTATACTATATTGATTGATGCATTGTGTAAGGAAAGAAAGCTAGGAGAAGCCAAGAATGTATTAGGTGTGATGGTGAAAGCTTACGTGAAACCTAATGTTGTTAGCTTTAATGCTCTAATGGATGGGTATTACTTAGTTAATAAAGTGAAGAATGCAAAACAAGTATTCAATGCAATGACCCACATGAGAGTGAGTCCTAGTGTTAGGACCTACAATATCATGATAAATGGACTCATAAGGAACGAAAGGGTGGATGAGGCCATAAATCTCTTTCAAGAAATGCACAAAAGGAATATAGTTCCAAATACTGTGACTTACAATACTCTTATTGATGGTTTATGCAAAACTGGAAGAATCTCTCATGCTTGGGATCTTTTTCGTGAGATGCGTGATAGAAATCAACAAGCAGACATAGTCACTCATAATTCCTTGATTGATGGATTATGCAAAAATCATCGTCTAGACAACGCAGTTGAATTATTGAGGGAAATGAGAGAGAATGGAGTTCAGCCCAATATGTACACTGCAACAATACTTATTGACGGCATGTGTAGAGGGGGGAGACTTAAAAATGCACAAGTGATTTTTCAAGATCTATTGAATAAAGGTCACAATCCCAGCATCTGTACTTATAATGTTATGATAAGTGGTCTTTGTAAAAAGGATTTGCTTGATGAGGCATTGACCTTGTGGTCCAAAATGGAAGACAGTGGTTGTTTATCTAATGTTATAACTTTTGAAACAATCATCTCTGCTCTCTTTAAGAAGAACGAGACTGAAAAGGCAGAGAAATTTTTGCACGAAATGATCTCTAGAGACTTGTTGAAATGATGAAAGGTGACACCTTATTTGAATAACAAGTTACATTTGTGTTTGTCATAGAATGTGCATGAATGGTTTGTAAATTTTGTATTAGATGAGTTGGTTTAGGTTGTAACATCTGTTGCTGATGTTTTCCTAGTCAAGGGTTGATGTATTTTTATTTTCTACTCTGCATTTTGATTGCTATGGATCTTCTGTTTCCTTTGACATTACATTTTACTTGTAGAATTTGTTTAACTGATTAGTAAAAAGGTTGAAATCAATGATTTTATTGTATTTTCAAGACCAAAATTGTGATCTCCCTCCTTATGTCTAAAATCTGATGATTTTTTTTTTTATTTCCAACTGTTTGATATTCCCCATTCATGTTTGTCAGAGACCAAATATATTTTTTCTTTAGGGCCTTCAGCGTTGCACTTCAAGGAACCATTCACAAAGAATAAGCACACTTACGAAGCTTAGGGATCTTAACCTTGGCAATAATCATCTTCCTGATATGTCTATGCCTAAAGAACTTTTAAGTCTTTCTGAATTCTTGCAATTGCAGAATCTCAAATGTCTATTTCTTACTCTCACTGGATTAATTGCAGGTTCAATACGACCAGAACTTGGTAATTTAGCACAATTGGATACATTGTCTCTCCATAATAATTGCCTAACTGGTTCAATCCATTCTACATTAGGTCTATTAAAGAATGGGGTCAGATTTCATCTTGATTCAAACCAATTTGCAGATATATAACTGGGAAATTTGACATATCTCTTCTCCTTCACTACTGTGTGTTTCTGAGCTAACTTCAGTTTTAATGGTCTCTCAGATAAGCTGTTGCAATTCTCTTCATTGTATTGTTCCCTATAAATCGTGTCAATGGGAGAGGCATATACAAATGAATTTTTAAGTGGCCTTGAAGAGTTTATGGCTTTTTACTATATATTGAAACGAGAAAATTTTAGCCTCTATCAAAAAGAAGTAAAAAGGGTTTTGTTCTAATTAATGTAATATTATTGTTGATAGGAATTATGCAGTGGGTTATACTAAAATGGAAATTAAAAAGTGAGGGGAAGAAAGAATAGCAGAGTCCATATGCAATAAAGAGTTGAGGTAATTAATTTGATATAATTCGAATTTTTTTGCAAGAAATTACTTGTGAATTTAAAAACACGCAAGAAAATTATTTGTGAAATTTAAATTTGTAAAAAAAAAAGTATATGTTGTTTTTGGATTGATTTTTTGAAACGAAAAACTGCTGTGAATCTTTTTTTGGACGAAAATTCGCTGCGAATATTTTCCATAAACAATTCGCATAAAAAATTTGTAACAAATTTCTAGTGAATTTTTTAATTTCAAGATAATTAATTATCTTTACTTTCCGATTAAAATTCATAAGAAAAATAGAAAAAAAAAACACTTTTCTTAACTTTTGTAAGAAATCTTAAGAAAATATCTATGAAGTGTGGAAAATTCTAGTAGTGATGGAAAGTCATGTGCAAACAAGAACTTGTAATACAAGATTAATTATGTTTTAACTGCAATATTAATATGGATTTTCAATTCATCTTGTTGTAAATTAATAATGACTTTTACTCTTTTTCCTCTTCTTAGCATTGTTAGTGTATGCAATGTCTTATGTACTAAATTCACTTGGTCAACCCATAATTCATGTTAAATCTCTTCTAAAACATTTAATATGTAAAAAGTAATAATATATGACTATTATAATACATTGAATGTAGACCATAACTAATGCGAATTTTCATTGTTATTGGTAATATAATACTACACATTTTCTAAAATAACATATTTATTTAGGTTTCAAATATTCTATTATAAAAAAAAGAATACATATATCATGTTTGTTATAAGTTTTCTTTTATCAATAATCATTGGATATAAGTCTATTGAAGAACTTCATTGTAAATTAATAGTATATTTTTAAGTATTAGAAATTAATGGTGGTTCTCGTTCAGTAATTGTAATATCCCAAAAATATAGCTATAAATTATACTTAAAAGTTCTTACATTTACAATAAAATAAAACACCATTTACAATAAAATAGAACAGTTACAGAAAATAAAGTTAATTTACAGTTATCCTAAAATAACCATAAATTAAAAACTTTACAAAAACATACACTAATACAAATTATAAAAACAGACTGATCGGTCATACAAGAGGTGTATCGACCGAACAGTCCTACAAATAGTGTATTAAACCAAACGGTCCTATACTAACTGCAAAAACAGGTACAAGACCGAATGGTCTTACTCTTAATGAAAATCATCCTCTCCAGCCAGTGCATGCGCTAAAGAACCCTCAATATCTTCTGCTCACACCCACAGGGTGATCATTGTAATGACAAGGACGACCGAACGGATAACATGACAAGACTAGAAAGTAGGGTAAGCTTATGTAATTTAATTAATTCAGTAAAACATATAATTCACATAAATCCGATATAAATCAATAGGTCAATCATGCAACAACCAATCATACATTTCCAACCATAACCATACATCAATGCATGCAATAACCGACCGCTTTACTCTGACTGTTCGGACTGTATGAATTTTGTGTAGCTACGACGTTTTTACACCCGATGATGTAGTAGTTGGGATGCCCTCAACAGTTGCCACCCGAGGTTAGTCTGTTATACCTCGCCCAAGTTCACCTTATGGACTAGGACCTCCTGTCATTCTCACACATGATTTACTCCTCTCTACTTGAGAATGAGTAATCATAGAATATCATGATAAACGCCAGCTAAGCATAACCACATTCATACTTTACCATTCCATAACCAATCTTGAGATATTCCTCCCTGGAATACTCTTTCATATCCATATTATAAGTATCTCATCATACCTTCACATTACATTAGAATTATCATACCATACTTCAATACCAACATACTTCCTCATCCATCACATTTAAGTATAATCAAACTAAACAGTAAAACAACCACCATTCTTGAACACGACCGAACGAAAAAGATCAACATAACCTATCAACAAGATTGAACGGGATAAACTTTCCCTACATACTAACATGATCAAACGGTCATTTAAGAGTAAGACTCAAGCATGAGTCGAACATAGTTTTAGGGCCGAATATTAGAACAACCGAAATCTAGAGTTAAATCGAACGTTTTCATCTTATGTCGAACACTATCGGCTTAGACTGAACACTTTGTGACTGGTGGAGACCGAACGGTTCATAACAGATAAGACTTAAAGGAGTGGTCGTACACTATTTAGGACCGACCACTAAGAGAGACCGAACGGTCGTTAACAGGTAAGGCCCACCAGAGGCCGAATGTAGTTAAGACCGAACACCAATACCAAACCAAGTACCAGCGCAAGACCGAGCACTACCAAGACCGAGTGCTAGTACAAGACCAAGCACTACCGAGATCGAGTGCTAGTACAAAACAAGCACTACCGAGACCGAGCGCTAGTTCGGAACAAGCACTACCGAGACCGAGCGCTACTAAGGCCGAATGGTCATGACTTGGGAGGACTCCAAAGAGATCGAACCTAGTTAATGACCGAGTGTAGAACAAGGCCGAACGACCAAATCAGTGCATGACCGAGCGGCCAACAGCGAACCCTCAGTTTTATGCATAATTCTGCAAAAACTTAGCTGAATTATGAACACATCAAATTTTACACCTATCCAAGAGTACCTAAATCTTTCTAACATCATTCCAAAGAGTCTCATACCATATTTTAATTCAAATTCTGCATAATCCACAACTCAAAGATCCAAAATATGTTTTCCTACTTCTTACACATTTTAGAAGGACTTAAGGGTTCTAATAGGCCCTAAACAACTTACCTAGATTATCCTTACAAACCGAAACCACTCCTGATACAAATTTCTCCTTTTCACTACTCCACTTCCTCACAATTCATTCGGCACAGTAACTATAATTTTGCAGAACCGAAATCAAACATGGCCACAACAGTTAATAGTCCACAAAACAATACCGAACATACAAACATTCAATTTTCTAATACATACAATCACATCCACCATCATTCTCATATATCATAACCAAATTAATTAAATTAAATAGCTTCCCTTACCTCAAAGCAACTTGACAGATTAAAATTTCTCCACAGTTTTACTAAACCGCAAGTCATCCTAGGACAACCTACAGACTTTGAATCGGTGAAAGGAAACCAACCACCGAACCAGAAACAGAATCAAAACCCAAAAGAAGAGCTGATGAACACATGCAAACAAAATAGTGTTTGCATGTACCAGAAAATACATAAATTCATGAGAATTTGGGAAACAAAACTTACCCACTCTAACCACGAAATTGATCGGTGGAAAAGGAAACCCTTGATCACAGGATCGCCTAGAAAGCTCTGGATCGCCGATTAGACGAACCACTGGTGAGAAATTTTAGAGAGAAGGAGGAGAAAAGATAGAGAATATAGTTTTTAGAGAAATAGAACGTACTGATATAATGAGCTGAGTGTTTTAAAACTCTATTTATATTGTTAGCTTATTTTAACACTAATTGTTCAATCTCATTATTTTAATACATCTATCTGGTCCTTAGAGTAATCTTTAATATTAGTTGTGTTTATGATTAATTGGATTTTAGTTTAGATGTAATGTAGTTGCAGATAAAGTTATTTGTTAAATTTCGGTAATTATTATTTTAAATAAATATTATAATTTATTGAGCTGTATTCATAATGTTTAGATCTTTTCACTTACATATTTGAAAACGAAAAATATAAAAATAATATTAGAAAAAAATCCACATATTACACTAATTACTGTGAAAACATTGATTTGAAGCCGTTTTACATTAATTACTACTTGAATGGACATATGTAAGACCCTTGATATTTAGCAAAGATAATTTCTGA